AGTAAATGTGTTTAAAAGTGTGATTAATGTATTACAACTCTGTAAAACTTAAGACAAGCTAGTTAAATATTATAAATGAGTAATAACTGGGAGACATACTAGATTTGGTTAAAACACATACATTTATTACTTTTTTCTCTTTAGAGGTAGAGCTGTTAAGGAAGTATTCCTTAAAACAATCTGTAGTGTTTATTCTCTTACAAGTTGTACTATGTTTTTAAAGCTAACTTATAGTATATTTATAATATAAATTGACTAGTCTCTTACCTAAGTTATTATACTAAAGGAAAAGAGTCTTAACTTTTTACTAATAGTTCTAACTCTTACAGCTCTTTTTAGAACAACTCTAACTAGCTACTTATATAATTATAATATATAGTAATTCTTTTATAAACAGAGTAAGAAGTTAGGAGGAGGGTTTGAGAGGGTAGAGCTACTCTAATTAGGTTTAGAATAAGTTTAGGTGTTAGGGCTAGGATTAGGATTAATTAGGGTTAGAGAGGAGATTATATATTTTTATTAAAGAAAGTACTTATTTTTTGACTTAGTAAAATACAAGTAGAACTATAGAGTGGCCAGTTAGAGCTAACTAAAGAAGAGCTCTAGAACTTAGGACTAATCTGTAAAAAGTATATAACTAAAGGAAAAATGTTAATTGTTAGTATTATATTAGAATAGAAAATGTTAGAAAGGACCTTAAGACTAAGAAGGATTATAGTCTTACTCTTCAGGTACTATTTAAAATCTCAGTATTTTCTAATTACCTCTCTCAAGTTGTTGACCTCTATACTCTCTTTAATACAAAATAGAATAACTTTAGTTTTATTACTATTTAGAAGGTAAACTATATAGTATACATTTAAGCTTATAGTAAAAGACATACACTTAGGAATATAACTATACAAGGTATAGTACAGGTTACAATAATGTAAAAGGAGAATGATTACATAAGATTAGGATGTATTTAGAGTGTGTGAGAAATTACTAAAAATGGGAAAATAGCTACACACTATACTCCTTTAATAAGACTAGATAGTCAATTTGTGATTAAACTGACTAAGCAGTTTTGTATTAGTAACATTAGCAAATAACAGAAAATAAATTTATTAGACAGATTTAATATAATAAAAAGTCTTAAAGATTATAAGGAAAGAAAATGTTAGACTTTGTTTTTAGAGTATTTACTAAGAAGTAAGAAAAATAAATTAAGATACAGAAATAAAGTTTGTAACATGACTGTCTAGTAGTAGAGATATAACAGAGAAAAGCTCTGTTGGACCCCCCCTCCTAGGAAGAAACTGTAGGAGAAAGTTGATTTTTATATTGAAAAAAAGTTACAACTGAATTGTATTAGTGTGACTTGTACCTAGTGCCTACAAAACAAGAGGCAACAACCCTTTCCTTTAACCTTCATGTTGTGGTATTTTTCCCACAGTATCATTGGGAAAAAGTCTAAATTCTTGTACTACCTTATAATAGTATAAAATAAGTGAAAAAGGTAAAAAAAGTAAAAACACTTGGAACAGATCTTAGTTTCTGAGAAAGTACTACAATTTATTATAAAGTCTGAAAGGTTTGTGTAATTTGTAAACATAAATAAGAGTTATTCTCCTTGACAATATATAAAATGTATTACAATAGATCTCTAAAATTATAAGGTTAAATCACTCTTGTTAGTTATAACAAATATTATAATTGTTTATAAAGCTCTTAAATCATTTTAATATCTTAATAATAGTTATTTTCCCTTATATCTGTTTGTTATTGAAATAACAGTTTATAATTATATTGAAACATTATATAAATACATTATAATCTACAACAATTAGGGGTGAGACAGGTTGTAAGATTGATTAGCTAAGAGTGTAGGTGTGAGTATTGTTAGTGTGAGTAGGTAACTGGATTGAGAAGATAGATACACTACAATAGTGTGTAGTAAGTAAGTAGTACACTAGAGAGTGTTGAATGAGCTAATTTGAGCTGTAGACAAAGCTGTATCTGTATGTGTACACTATATACTCTGACTATGTCTTACAATCAGAGGTGTAGTAAACTGAACTGTTGACTGAGGAGTGTATTCCCAGAGTGTTCTGGCCTAAAGGGAGAGCTGTGCCTGTAAGACAGGTTTAGATTAGCAAGTGGTAACAAGCAAGAAAAGATGGATACACTGTGACAGTGTGTAGTGAGTATAAGTAGTGTATACAGATCAAGATCCAGAGTGTTGAATGAGCAGGTTCAGACTACAGACAAAATTGTGTCTGTGTACATGTACTCTATTATCTATCTACAGTGTTTAATAGGAGGTGTAGTAAACTGAGTCATTGATTGTAAGGTGTATCTCTGGGACGTTCTGGCTTAAA